CACTTTATAAGTTAAAAAAAAGAAAACTGTTTGGGGATAGTATACATTAATTCAAAATATAAGCCAAAGGGTAAAAAATTTAGCTGTAAGATAAACTCTGAATTTAAAAAAGATTTTTAGAAACTAAATAATAATTTATTATCTATTGCTGCATTGTAAATTACCCTCAAAATTGGTAACTCAAAAAACAAATATTTCTTATTTCAGAATTTCCATGGTCAGAAATGTGAAAATGGCTTGGTTGGGTGATTCTGGCTCCAGGTTCTTTATGAAGTTACGGTCATGATGAAAGCCAAAGCTGCAGTCAGCTGAAGGCTTGAGTCAGGTGGAGGATGTGACTTCAACGTGGCTTACTTCTACATCTCACTTTCTACCTGACTTTCCCATGTCCCAGCAATCTAGAAGAAAACTTGTTTTCACATATGTGAATCTAGAAATTCTGTTCTGAGATTACAAAAGCTTAAAAAAGTGAATCTCATGAAGGCAGAGAGTAGAATAGTCTTTAGCAGGGGCTGGAAAGGGAATGAAGAAGGAAGGGATGAAGAGAAGTTGGTTAATGAGTACAAATATGTCATTCAAAGGAATAAATTTTAGTATCTGACAGTGTGGGGAAACTGTAGTTAACAGTAATTTATTGTATATTCCAAAATAGCCTGAAGACAAGAATTGTAGTGTTCCCAACACAAAGAAAAATGTTCAGGCTGAGCACAGTAGCTCACGCCTATAATCCCAGCACTTTGGGAGGCCGAGGCGGGCAGATCACCTGAAGTAAGGAGGTCGAGACCAGCCTGACCAACAAAGAGAAAACCCCATCTCTACTAAAAATACAAAATTAGCTGGGTGTGGTGACACATTCCTGTAATCCCAGCTACTTGGGAGACTAAGGCAGGAGAATCTCTGAACCCAGGAAACAGGTTACAGTGAGCCGAGATCAAGCCATTGCACTCCAGCCTGGGCAACAAGAGTGAAATTTGGTCTCAAAAAAAAGAAAAATGTTCAAAGTGATAGATATTCCAATTATCCCGATTTGATCATCAAACATTGCATACATGTATCAAAATATCATGTCCATAAAAATATGTACAATTATAATATCAATAAAAATATAAAAATAAATAACAAAACTTATTTTGGCCTGACTTTAATAAGTACCAAGGGAATTTGAAAGAAGATTCTACTTTTTTGTTGTTAGAATTTACTAAAATTTGTTCATTTAGGAAAATCATATCATTAAAAACACTTGTATTTGATTTTCCTATCAATATACATGTATCCTCCTGCACTTAAAGCTGCTACATTTGGTGATTCTACCTATAGGTGTCAGCACTTGACTACTCACATGGCTTCTAGTTTAGTCACATTTGAGCATTTGCATATTGACGTGCATACTATTTAATTATAAATTACTGTTTATTATTTCTCATTTGTATTACATAGGATATTTTATTGACTTTTTAAAGGAAATTATGAGTGTGGCTATTATGTTATCTGTGACTATTATTTCAAGATTGTACAAGGGGCATTGTAAAATATTTATTATGAAAAGGGTGCGTTGCATATGATGTGCTTGAGAATGACTATCATACAAGCTGGTGATGTTACAGCACTCTTAGTCACCTTATATAAGAAGCCCTTAACACTGTTCTTTCTCTAGAGCAGGTCTGTCAAGGAGAAACATAAAGTGAATTACATATGTAAGATTAAATTTTCTGATAGCTATATTTAAGAGCATAAAAAGAAACAGGTGAAATTAATTTTAATAACAATATATTTTCTTTACTTAAATACTAAATATCATTTAAAATGTAACCAATATAAAAATTAAGATACTCTTCTTTGTTGTTGTTTATAATGTCTTTAAAATATGATGTGTATTTTACATTAACAGTATATTCCAAATTGGAAAAGCCATTTCAAGTGCTGAATAGACCCATAGATAGTGTCTGTACCATACTGGACAGCACAGTTCTGTATGTTCCATGAATTTAAAAATTCCAAGAAAAGGAATAAAATGTCAGAAGCTCCCTAATTTATAAAAAGGGACAAAATAATGGCTGCTGCCCATCTCCTTGTTTTCCTCCTTTTTGCAACTTTCAGCTCAAAGTCTATGTTTCAGCTCAAACACAGACCATCTCCAGCACAACTTCTGTGCCAGAGGCTGTGTGGAGAGGCGTAGCAGCAACTCAGTAAACACAGCCACCTGCTACAGTTCAAAACTAGAAAGTCAAAAAGGAGAATTCTTCTCTTGACACTTCCATCTTCATCCCTGTCCTTTGTCTCTAGACCCTCAGATCCCTCCCAATCAGATACACTCCCTCTCCACCCCCACTCCCTGCCACAATTATGAAGCTTTTCTCCCCAAATGGCAAAAGCTCTAAAATTGCCTGTCATTCCTTTTCCTATGTTATGAGCATTTTGCTGATCCTTATGTAGCTGATGTCCTTGTTTTACCCCTGTTAACAAGCTCATTACTCTATCCTTTCGCAGGAAGCATTATCACCTTTCTAGTTTGGTGGTTAAAACCACAGGTTATAAAAAGCAAGCAACAAACATGAGTTCACACCTTGTTTATCTCACTTAAAGTTGTGTGATTTTTAGAAGTAAATTAAACTCTGAGCTGCCTCTATACAATTCAGGTGAAAGTAATGCCTACCTTTAGGTTTGCTCTGAGCCTCAATTGAGATAATGGGTGTAATCAAGTTAGCACAGCATGTCACACCGTGAGCAATTAATAAATGAAAGTTATTATATGATTTCCTCAATCTATAAATCCTTTCCTATTTCCAGCCACATGTCCAAATCCTAATCATTTTTCAAAGTCTTTCTCAAGTCTCACTTGTTCTCTAAATCGTCTGCAAACCTTATTCTCCCCTTTGCATGTATTTGTTGAGAATGCTAACATAAAGTCACATTGGTATGACTTCCAGTATGGGAGGTCATTTACTAAATTCTTTAGCTAATTAATTTATGATGAATAAGGGAACAAAAACAACAGCAGATACTACTGATACCTGACCATGCTTTCTCTTGACCCACCTGAGTTTTTTTGCAGCTGTGGTGGGCAGTTTTACAATTCGCACCAACAGGCATGTTCCACATGGTTCCGCAGAAGTTTCCCAGTGGGATGGAGCCCCAGCTGCCCACAGCAGCATTCCACTCATAAACGTTCACTTACTTGGCTTTGCTCCCTTCCGTCTCTCCTCCCTCATACCCACTTCAGCTTCCTAGAATAAAACTTCCCTTCCTGGAATAAAACTCTCTTCCATCTCACCTTCCGTCATATCCACTTAAGCTTCCCAGATAAACCACCTGCATCAAAGTTCTTGTCTTAGATTTTGCTTTTGGGGAAACCCAAATAAGATAAGAACTAATGTTCCTGAGTCCATATTGTACGCCACACACCATGTTAGTCATTCCACTTTCATTATCTTCTTTTATATTCTCAACACTCTCGTGGGATTGGGTATTATTATACTCATTTTGCAGTAACAAATTAGAAAGTCAAGACTCAAAATAATTAAGTGACTCACTCAGGGAAAATCTAGCAATCCAAATGCTTTGGGTACTGGTTTCTGAATTAATAATTGTATAGAAAAAATAATAAGACATTTTGGAATAAAGCTTTAAAAACGTATTACAGAAAAATAGTCAGGTAAAATTAAATCTCTTAGATTTAACCAAAACATGACAAACTAAGATGTAGAAACAGAATGTAGTAAAATAGAGTCTGGAGACATCATACATTGGATACTTTGTTATTTAAATGCCTTATTTGTAGTCCACTTTCTTTATTCTGGGAAATAGAGACGGGAAGATATGGCAGCTGAGAGCTACCCAAATGAGTCGATTTCATAAGAAAGTATTAGAAGATGAAACCAATTTGGCCTCTATGACATTGGAGAAAGAATTAGACAAAGGGGACCTTTGTGAGTGCTTAGATACTAAAAACAAAGGCTTAGATTAATGAGAAAAATTACTGAGAAAAAATTTTCTTCCATATTAAAATTCTCATTTGGAATTGATTTTTTTTTTTATCTTCCCAAGTCACACAGGCCATATACATAAGGGCGATTGAATTATAACATGAAATGTCAAATCCAATAAATGTGAGGAAGGAGATAGCTGGGCAAATGTTAAAGGAAGCAAAGGACAAAGAGATACGTTTCCATATTCAGAGGCAAGCATTAGATGACCAGCACACTTCCCGGAGCTTTAGGAACTGTGTTAGTCAAATTGGAGAAGTCAGAAATATTCAACTAACATTGGAGAACATTTCCTAATTGACCTGATGTATGTTACTCTCTGTGGTTCTATGGTCTATCTGTCAAGTTAAGTTTGTAATTCTTAAAAAATTAGGGTGATGTGTTTGAGCCAATCATCTTCATAGAAAATTAAGTCCTTAATTTTCATGAAGTTTGAGATTATTTGATATTTCTATTAAGCTCTGAGATTATCAGACAACACTTATGGTAAATCTTTATTACATATTGCCTGTGCAGTTGCTATTGTTTGCCTTTATAATGCCACACAAAATCATAAAGAAATCATAAATTCGAATTGGGCATTATGGTTTCATTGCTTTGAATTTTTTAATGGTCTACACTTATGCGTAACCCAAAAGTATTGCATCACATTATTTACTGTAAATATATTAGGTCTGCTATGAAGTCATTTTGTTTGGAACCCTAGAAAATGTGACTTCTAGCCAACTGAGCTTTTATAGTGTGCCCTCTAATTCACATTTTAATAAATGTCATTTTCTAAGTGCATTACCTCATGTTTTGGCTAGAACCCTGAGAGAATAAGAGAAATGTGCTTTCTGACTGGTTCATCCATATTTTATTTTACTTTTCATTAAGAAATTACTCTTTGAAGAAAATCAATAATCTTTTGTGACTGAGGGAAGAGGTTAGTGTGTTGCAGTTGTGCATTCTAATATTTCAAATCAAACTGCCTTTAACCAGCTTTTGCTGATAGCATTTTTGTACTTGTTCCTACAGCCTGGGTACATGGGGACCCCAGAAGAGCGGCCTATCCTACAGACAGCCAGGGCCACTTTTGTGGCCAGAAGGGCACCCCCAATGAGTGAGTATGGCCACCTTTACTTTGTGTGATTTTACTGTCTAAACTAGAACTTAGATATCAGTTTTACAGTAATCCTACTATACTTCTTAAGAAGATTTAAATTTATAAAGGAGGCCTTCCCTCCCCTTTTCTAACAGATAGCTATAAGCAGTTAGAAAGTTTTATATTATATGACTTAAAACACGATGTCAGTGTTATGCAGCATTTTATTAGAATGCATGAAGACTCTACTTATAAAAATATAATTATAGTGAATAGATTGGACCAATTATTTTATCAGAAGGTATGTTTTTAAATGTTTTATAAATGGGCTATTAGAAAACTGAGTTGTGAGTAGCTGCTACAAAGCTAGACAGTCCAGTTGTTAGGATTATTTATAGTCTACTGATAAATCATTCCACATTTCGAAGTGAGGAGAACACCCAGAAAGTCTTCAATGCTTGGTATCCTTTTCCAGGCAACTTGGCTGCTGTGGACAATGTCCCTGGTTAGCTGAAACAAACAAGGAAGAATGTTCCATCAAATTTCTTTTTAATGATAATCATAATAGAAGTTTTCATTCCTGAAAGCACATTGTCTATTTTTCTAACCTAAGAAAACAAACCACACATGTAAGCAACCCCCCCATACATCTCACATTTTTAGAAAACCTTCCCTCTTATCTCACTGGTCCATTTCTTCTCTGTGGAAACGTGGGATTGTTGCTGGATAATCTGGTTCTTCAAAACCAATTCAGTTTCTATAAAAGCTGGTTTTAGATGGTTAACAAAAAACCCCAAAGCAACCACATCCCTCACTTCCAACAACAACAACAATAACAAAAAACATAGCTGAGGACACTTCAGTTATGTTGTCTATGCAGATCACTTGTAACCATAGAGCATATTATTTCAAGAGATACACAGATTTTGGAAGGCAGTACACTCACCACTATACCACCAACACGGGATACACAGACTTTAAAAATAGATGCACAGTAATTTAAAAAATTGCCAACAAAAAATTCCAAAATCAGATGAATTCACACCTGAATTTTACCAATATTCTAGGAACTAGTACCAATCCTACTAAAATTATTCCAAAAGGTAGGGGAAAAGGGACTCCTCCCTAAATCGTTCTATGATGCCAGTATCACTCCAATACCAAAACCAGGAAAGAACATAACAAAAAAGAAAGCTACAGACCAATATTCCTGATGAACATAAATGCAAAATTCTCACCAAAATACTAGCTAAGTGAATCCAACAGGACATCAACAAGATAATACATCATGATCAAGTGGGTTTTATATCAGGAATGTAGGGATGACTTAACATATGCAAGTTAATAAATATAATACATCACATAAACAATTAAAAATCCTATGATCATCTCAATTGATGCAGAAAAAGCATTTGATAAAATCTAGCATTGCTTTCTAATGAAAGCCCTCAACAAAAAGGAATAGAAGGGACTTACCTCAAAGTAATAAAAGGCATCTGTGACAAACCCACCTCCAACATCATACTAAATGGGGAAAAGTTGAAAGCATTCCCTCTGAGAACTAGAACAATACAAGGATGTCCACATGCAGCACTTCTATTCAATATAGTACTGGAAGTCCTAGCCAGACCAATCAGACAAAAAAAAAAAAAGAACTAAAGGGCAAGTTGGAAAAGAGGAAGTCAAACTGTCACTATTTGCAGATAATATGATCACATACCTAGAAAACTGTAGACTCATCCAAAAGGCTCCTAGACCTGATAAATGAATTCAGTGAAGTCTCAGGTTACAAAATCAATGTACACAAATTAGTAGCATAAATTAGTAGCATCCATCAACCATGACCAAGCTGAAAATCAAATCAAGAACTCAATCCCTTTTACAACATCTACATAAATAAAGTACCTAGGAACACACTTAACCAAGGAGGTGAAAGATCTCTACAAGGAAAACTACAAAACACTGCTGAAAGAAATTATAGATGACACAAATAAATTGAAACATTTCCTATGCTCATGGATGGGTAAAATCAAAATTGTGAAAATGACCATACTGCCAAAAGCAGTCTACAAATTCAATACAATTCCCATTCACTATGATTCCTCACAGAACTAGAAAAAGCATCCTAATTTTATATGGAATAAAAAAAAAAAGAGCCCGCATAGCCAAAGCAAGACTAAGTAAGATCTGGAGACATCTCATTATCTGACTTCAAACTATACGTTAAGGCCATAGTCACCAAAACAGCATGGTACTGGTATAAAAAGAGGCACATAGACCAATGGAACAGAATAGAGAACCCAGAAATAAAGCCAAATACTTAACAGCCAACTGATCTTTGACAAAGCAAACAATAACAGAAATTGGGGAAATGACATCCTGTTTAACAAACGGTGCTGGAAAAACTGGCAAGCTACAAGTAGAAAAATGAAATTGGATCCTCATCTCTCACTTCGTACAAAAATCAACTCAAGATGGAGCAAAGACTTAAATCGAAGACCTGAAACCATAAAACTTCTAGAAGAAAACATTGGAAAAATTCTTCTAGACATTGATTTAGGTAAAGAATTCATGACTAAGACCCCAGAAACAAATGCAACAACAAAAAAAATAAAGAAATGGGACCTAATTAAACTAAAAAATTTCTGCCCAGCAAAATAAATAAGCAAACAGACAACCCAAAGGGTGGGAGAAAGTATTTGCAAACTATGCATCTAACTAAGGATTAGTGTTCAGAATCTACAAGGAACTCGAACATATCATCAAGAAGAAAAGCAAACAATTTCATCAAAAGTGATCTAAGGACATGAATAGACATTTCTCAAAAGAATATATAAGCATAGCCAACAAATATATGAAAAAATGCTTAACACACTAGTCGTCAGGGAAATGCAAATTAAGACCATAATGAGATACCACCTTACTACAGCAAGAATGGCCATAATTAAAAAGTCAAAAACAATAGATGTTGGCATGGATGTGGTGAAAAGGGAACATATTTACATGGCAGGTGGGAATGTAAATTAGTACAACCACTATGAAAAACAGTATGGAGTTTCCTTAAAGAACTAAAAATAGATCTACCATTTGATTCAGCAATCCCATTACTGGGTATCTACCCAAAGGAAAAGAATCATTACTTAAAAAATGTTTGTAGCAGAACAAGGATATGAAACCAATGTAAGTGCCCATCAACCAACAAGTGGATGAAGAAAATGTTGTATATAACCATGGAATACTCAGCCTTAAAAAGGAATGAAATAATGCCTTTTGCAGCAACTTGAAAGGAGCTGGAAGCCATTATTCTAAGTGAAGTAACTCAGGAATGGAAAGCCAAATACTGGATGTTCTCACTTATAAGTGGGAGCTAAGCTGTGAGGACACACACACAAATACACACACACACACACACTCACAAACATGCAGAGTGATATAATGGACGTAGGGAACTCAAGGGTGGGGAGACTATGAGGAGGTGAGGGATAAGAGGCAACATATTGGGTACAGTGTACATTGCTCAAGTGAAGGGTGTACTAAAATCTCACAATGCACCATCAAAGAAGTCATCCATGGAGCCAAAAACCATCTGTACCCCAAAAAACTATTGATATTTTGAAAAATAATCTAAAGATGTAAATAAAAAGAAAAGAAATAGATTCAGAAAAAGGTTAACAAAATTCATGAAGCAGAATTATCATTATCAAGAAAACCCAGAAATTTAAGGAGGGGGCAAATCCCTAATCATGTCAGGGTAAATGTACAGGGGACTAGTTGACTCCTCATTGCCTGTTAGAGACAACTAGACTAAATTTTGATCCAGGGAGGTCATTCTTATTTTAACTTCAATAACTCAGAAAATCCTAGACATTGCCCACAAAACCTTTGCAACCTTCATACTATAAAGGACAAAGAGAGCACCAAGTGGTAAAAGAAACCATACAAATCTCTAAATATCTAGTTCTTTAAGAGGGTTTATTTTTAAAAGGGAATTTGTAACAATAAGTTCTCCAGACCTAAGCCAATGACCTACTTATGTCAAACAAAAATGTGACAGCACAAATTTCAGTACATAATGATCTTTCAAAGATAATCCTCTCCCCACACATGTTCATTAAAGTATTATTCAAAATAAAAATATATTAGAAACTACACAGATATCCAACAATATGTGGATGATAGTAAATTATGGCCTATCAATTTAATGAAATATAATGGAGCCACTGAAAATTATGTTCGTATGTTTAACAGTTGATTCTGTTGATTTTTCCTTATAGTTTCTGGCGGATATGTTATCATTGCATTTCTCCCCATGAAAATAATATTCTCCAATAGTTCTCTAGTATTTTGATGGCTTCCTTCTTATATTTAAATTTCTAATTTCCTTGAAATTTGTTTTTGTATATGGATTGAAATAGAAATCAAACATTATATAACAAATAATAAATATAAATGATATATAAATTTATATATTTGTTTCTGAATTCTATCAGCTGCTCTAATGTACATTTTAAGCTTCACGATTGTTTTAATTCTTATAATAAATGTGTATTATTTAAAACTTTAATGTTATTCTAATTTTAGACTTTCAGTTGTAAAATATTTACAGAAATGTAAGATTTTAATGAATATTAAAAACTTTGTAAGCATAAGTTTTATTGTATAAAATAAAGTCCATTAGTCTGTTTTCACACTCCTGATAAAGACATACTTGAGACTGGGTAATTTATAAAGAAAAAGGCTTAATGGACTCACAGTTCCATGTGGCTGGTAGAAGGCAAAAGGCATGTCTTACATGGTGGCAGGCAAGAAAGAATGAAAGAATGAGAACCAAGTGAGAGGGGTTTCCATTTAGGAAACATCAGATCTCATGAGATTTATTCACTACCAGGAGAACAGTATGGGTAAACCGCCCCCATGATTCAATTATCTCCAATCAGGTCCCTCCCACAACATGTAGGAATTATGGGAGCTATAATTCAAGATGAGATTTGGGTGGGGACACAGCCAAACCATATCAA